GTGTCAGGGCAGGTGAGGGCAGCGTTGGCCAGGGATGTTGCCCTGGATTAGGTAAGGTTAACACAGGGCTACAGAGAATGTTCAGGGCAACTTCAAGCCTAACAGACTCGTTTTAGTGTACAGTTTGTTGAGCTTTGACAAATGCATACACACATACAACTATTTCACACACAAGGCAGAGAGCTTCTGTGAAGCTCAGCGCTGAATCCCGCCATTAGCCACGGTTTCAAGGAGGTGCAGTCCCACACTAGACCGTCCTTTGTAACTGGCCACCCTCTTTCACTGAGCAAAATGAGTTGAAGATTATTCTGCATTCAGGCAGGTAGCAGTAGTTGACTTAGGTTTGTTGTGTATTATTCTGTTGTGTAAATGTATTATGATTTATCTGTTCATACCTGTTTGGATTGTGCATATTTTTGCTGTTACAAATAAAGTTGTTACAAATATTTGTGTGCAAGAGTACCTGTAGGCGCATATTTTTAAATTCTCTTAGTAAGTGGGCAGCTGTAGAAGTAACTGCTGAAGTGTTCTCAGAAGTGGCTGAGTCTCTCAGGGGGAGCCAGACAGGTGGTGGATGGACACATCCCCTGCCCTTTCCCTCAGCCCCTGGAGGAAACCCACTTCTTGGCTCAGGAGGACAGACAAGCGTGGACCCTATTTCTGCTGCAGTGTCCTGTACGCTGCTGAAAGCAACATGAGTTAGGGAAAGGGACAGGGTTGGGACAATCATGTTGGCAAACACTATGCTTCTCTCACGCCGTCCTTGGCTGCACATGGGGCTTGTAAGCCAGAGCAGTGGTCCTCTGATTTGGGGATGCTTGTTAAATCACCCCCAGAGGCCTGCTGATGCAGATGGCTGGCCCCCAGCCTCTGAGCTGATTTAGCAGGTCTCGGTGGAGCCCAAGCTCTGTGCTCTTCTAGGGAGTGTTGGTGGGCTGCTCACCGTCCTCTCTGAGAACTCCCAAAAGAGTAAAGGGATAGAATCCTGCAGCAGGGCTGCGATTTAGAGGCACAGGGATGAGTCTCAAGCTGGGAATTCTGGGCTCAGGTCTGCTACTGATGTGTGTGTGTGTGTGTGTGTGTGTGTGTGTGTGTGTGTGTGGTTGGGGGTGGAGTTCTTCCAGGGCAGAGGACAGAGGCAGAAATGGGGAGATCAGTTACATGCAAGGAGGGGAGGGTGGAGGGATAACAGACACCTTTATAAAAGCACTGCACCTGCCACGTCCGAGGCCATGCCGCTGTCTAGAGGTGCAAGGCCTATCTGCGTGCACTTGCTGCCTTGGGACCACCTGAAGCCGGATAGGGAACTTCTGCCTCCACTATTCACCAGCAATGTGTTGTTGCCTGACAGTAGCTCAATAGCTGTTACCAAAACCATGGAGACAAGGATGATGAGCTCTCCACAGGCTGTTGTGAGGGGTCACTGAGTGCCCAGAGCAGCAGCTGGCACACAGCCATGATGCCTGGTGTCCAGCAGCCCTCATCAGTTCCCGGAGCCAGTGCAGCCACAAATACCTGACCATTTTTAAAGTCTTAGTTTTGGGGTTTCTGGAGAACTCAGACTTTGCTGGGGTAGGGTGGAGTGCACGACCTAGCTGCGGGGCTCTGCCCTAGGGCCCTGACTGTCCCCAGGACCAGCCGGCAGATTTCCCAGTGTGGGTCCTAGCCTCCTCCCTTCCCGGCTGGCGCTCAGCGCTCAGGGTTTCCTGCCCGTGGAGGCCCGGCTTGGGGTGCAAGGAGGAGGAGGGGTGGCATTTCCTGGCCGTGCCGCGTCAGCGTCCAGGGACGCAAGGACGTCGCGCTGACCGGCAGGCACCAGATGCTATTTCGGGAGGCACCCTGCTAACTCGCAGTTTCCGTTTTTCCAGCGACCATCGGAAATCGGGGAGGGGGGAGAGTGCAGACGTCACAGGCCCCTGGCCCCGGCGTGGAGTGGGGGTGGTGTTTTGGACGAGGTCGAGTCAGCTGCCCTGAGGTCCGGCTCGGGAGCGCGGGGTGGGGGAGCCCGTATGTGCAGGAGCGGAGGTGCAAACGTCACCTCCGGGGCCGCCAGACACATCTCTGGGCGTTCCCTGCGCCTTGGCTTCCAAGGAGACATTACCAGCAGCCCCTGTCCTTTCAGCACCTTGCTCCGGAAGACTTTTAAGGCGCGGTAGAAGAATCCAGAAGTCCGCAGGTGCTTCAAAGGCATTTGAAATAAAGGAATTAAAAACAAAAGATGGAGTCCCTCCCTTGCCTCCATCTCCAGAAATAGCAATTATTGGTGAGCCGGGAGAGCCTCACCCTAACCCCCACACAGCCAGCCAGTTTGTAAGGTTTAGATTCTAAACACTGGTCATTTCCATTCTGTTTTACGTGGAAGACAGAGACAGAGCTCTTTCACCCTGTTTCCTCCAAAGATGCCCACCCAAGCACTGCCTCCCAGGAGCATTAGCAGGAAGCTGGACTCAGACGCAAAGCTGGGAGCTGAATCCAGGCACCTGTGTATGGCAGTTGGGCACAGCTGCACCTGGCACCCTTCCCTTTTCTGCCTCTGGTCACCCCTTCTGGCAGGGCAGCAGCAGAAGCTCTAGAGCCCTTCCCTGGACCACAGCATTGGTCCTCAAACGGATATCCCCACACCCACCCTCCTCCCACGCCCATTCGCCACACTGCAGCCAAGGAGCTTTGCAGCAATGGTGGCCCGCCTCAAACCAAACCACAAACACCCTTTACATGCTCTCAGTGGCTTGCTCCAGCTGCGGTCCACTCCTCTCTGCCTCAGCCTGCAGCCTCGATGGTTCCCAGGCTCACCTGGAACGTTCTGCTTGCTCCTTTTCCCCACACCCTGAGCATCACACTTGGCTCTCCCTCCAGGTCTCCCGTTTGGAGGAGCTCTTGGACTTGGGGCTCAGTGGCAGTCCCGGCAGCCCCATGAGGTGGTACAGTAACAGAGTAACAGAGAGGCCACCGCCTTTCCTCAGGAGGTTGTCCTGGCGGGGGGGGGGGGCGCGGCCACTCTTTGGGCTCAGTCCTCGACAGGACACTAGAGCTCCAGGATGCTAAAGCAAAGCAGCCTCTAGCACTTGGAAATGGGAGTGTAGGTCCTGACCATTCTCTCTGGGCTACTCTAAGTGTTGTCCAAGTCCTCTCTGAGGTGGTTCCTGGACACAAGGCTCGGGTGGAGCTCACATGTCATCACCCTTACTGCCACCTTTTAAAGTCATTCTACATCAGGGCAGGCTTTGTGGCACCGCAGGTTAAGCTGCTGCTTGGGATGCCTGCATCCTACATCAGGGCTCAAGTCTCAGCTTCCTGCTAATGTGTCCTGGGAGGCAGCAGACAATGAATGGGTCAAGTACTTGGGTCCCTGTCACCATGTAGGAGACCTGGGTGGAGTTCTGAACACCCAGCTGCTGCTGGCGTTGCCTCGGCTGCTGCAGGGGAGTGAATAAGCAGAGATTTCTTTCACTCTGTCTTCCTTTTTTTTTTTTTTTTACTCATTTTATTTATTTGAAAGCAGCGTGGCAGAGATAAAAGGAGAGAATGAGAGGTCTTCCCTCCTCTGGTTCGCTTTCAAACGCCTGCCATAGTTGGGGCTGGATCACACTGAAGCCAGAAGATAGGACGTGCGTCTAGTTCTTCACATGCATGGCTGAAGCCCAAGTGCTCACCACAGGCTGCCTTCCCAGACATGGGAAGAGGGAGTGGGCTGGAAGGAGAGGGTCTGGGTCTGGAACCAGCCCCAAGCAGGGGCTTAGCCTGTTGCACCACAATGCCCTTTCCACTACATTGCAGAAGAAGGCATCCTGATTCCTTCCACAGGCTGTGACCCCGTCACCCAGCAGGCCCTCAACCCAGCTTCCTGCCCCAAGGACAGATGTGGTTCCTGCCATGAGCTGAGTCCAGATCCCGCGTCCCAGGCAAGGTCCTGGCTGTCCCTCTTCCTCAGCTGAATGCCAAAGGAGATCCTTGTGCCGATCTTCCTGGAAACCCAGGTTCCACCGCCTACTAGGTCTCCACTGTTGGGAAAGTCGCTTTCACTCTCTGTGCCTCCGTTTCTTTATCTGTAATTGAGGGGAAGCAAGGAGGAGAATGTAATCGAAAATAATCAAATGAGTTCGCATATGTACGGTTCTTAGAACTTCCCATCCAGCTCCCTGCTAATGCATCTGAGAAAGCTCGGGTCCCTGCAGCTCCAGAAACTAGGAAGAAACTGCTGGCTTTGGTCTGGCCCAGTCATGGCCATAGTAGCCAGCCATCTGGGGAGTGAACCAGTGGATATAAGATCTCTCTGTCCCCCACTATAAATCTGCTTTTCAAACAAATAAACTGCACTAAAAAAAATAAAAAAGTACCTCGGGAGGTTGATGTTTGTGGGTTCAGGACCCAGCCTGAGGGCTGGGATATCGGACAAATCCGTTTCCGTTGGATGCCATTTCGGTGTGTATATCCTCTGGCCTTGAGCTGCCAGCTCCATTTTAGAATACAAAAGGATGGACTGAGGGTTGGGGTGGAGCTCAGGGGCTTTCTAGGATCAGAAGACCTGCCTGAAGCTTAAACCAGGCAGCTAGGTCAGTGGGAAGTGATGGTTTTGGTGTGGAAGTGGTCTTCACCTTGCGGGACAGAGGGCAGAATGTCGGGCTGACAGTCTCTCCAAGTCTGTGAAGGGGATTGGAAGAGTGAGAATTCCTGAGGGGCCTCGGGATCAGACATGGAGGCTTGGCCCAATGGGCCGTAAGCCAGAGCGCGCGCAGCTCTCCACGCGCCGCCTTCCGGAGCCGGTCCCCTCTCTCCATCCCGCTACCCCCCGGTGAAATTGCCAAATTAAAATGAATCATTTGGCCCATAATGGCCAAGGCGCTTATCGAGGGCGGGCGGACCCGCGGCAGTGCCTTATCTCCGCGGCGCACACGGCCCCGGTGCGCCTCGGCCCATGCTAACGAGGTCCGGAACGTGAGCGGGATTAGAGCGCGGCGGCGCGGGGCCCGGCGCGGGCGGCGCGGGGCGCGGGCGGGGCGGCAGGCGGCGCGGGCGGGGCCGGCCTCGCGCCCTGCACCGGCCTCGAAATGGCCACGCGCGCACCCCCGTAGCGGACAAACGTGAGCATTCGGGCCTTTTTCTGGGGACGAACGACCTGTGGCCTTCCACGGAATTCCCGCCCAGTCGCCTCCCTCTCCCCCTCCACGCCCGCGCGGGGTGGGGGTGTCCCTGCTCTTCGGTTGCTTTCCGTGGGGGGTATTTTCCACGGACGCCCCCCCTCCCCGCCGCCCAGACTCTTCCTTCCTTCCCCTTTTCCTTACGCAATACATAGAAACGCGCGCGACGGTGGTTGGTGTTCATTTCTCCCTGGTGTGGTGTGCATGCGGTGGGGTGGAGAGTGTGCGCGTGTGCGCCGTTGGCCATGCCTACTGCTCCCGAGTGGGGCCGTCCCGCAGCAGGGTGCGTGTCGGAGCGTGGCGATGCGCGCGCTGTGGGTGTGTGGCCCTGGACTCCGCGAGGCCCTCCCGCCTCGTTGACGCTGTCGTTTAAGCGTTATGTTCGTGGGCGTGCGGCTCCGCGTGTCGGCGGCGACGGCCCTGGCCTTTGCGATCGTGTCCGGGAGGTGTCGTTGTTATGCCGGGCGTGCGTGTTGCCGACCGGGTTGGGGTGCGCGTCGGGGGGCAATGGCGGGGGGCCGATTTCGTTGTGTGGTGTTGCACCGTGTGCGGGCCTGAACCTGTTGGCGCACGGGGGGCAAGCAGCGTCGCGCTGGGTCGGCTGGCGGCCCTGGCGCGGGGCCGGGCCGGAGGTGGCCCGGTCTGCGCTGAGGTGCGTGCCCGTGTGTTCTTGTCCTTTAACGCTGCCCGCGCAAATCGCTGGGGGCGTGAGTGGGGGAGGGCGAGAGGGAGATCGCGGCGGCGTGGGGGCGGGGAGCGGGCTTTCACATTTTATTCCAAATTATGATGTATTCGGGAGCCGGCGTTGGCGGGGACGGGCGGGCAGAGCAAGGTCGGCGGCCGCTCCGTCTTGGAGGCCCGCCCGCGCCTCGGCGTGGAGGGGTTCACTAGGGAGCGGCGGCTGCTCGCGGCTGGAAGCTGAGCGGTGCTTGCCGAGGCCCGCGCCTTCAGGCCCGCGGCTGCGTGGGCTGGAGTTCGCGCCGCGCGCCCGCTTCGTCCATTTCGGGTCAGTTTCGCGGGTGCGGCCGCCGGGGTCTGGGGGCGGGTCCCCAGGGAACACCGAGCGCACGCTCCCGGCCTCCGGCCTCGGGTGGGGACCGCTCCGGGACACATTGTCCCCGCGCCTCCTCGGGTGGGCAGCATTCCCGCAGGGGACCCGTCGCAAAGGCGACCGCTGCTGAGCTCCGGGGGCCCTACGAGAACCGGTTCCGCGCTGCCCTAGCCCGGGAAGAAAAGAATTTTGTTTGGCCTATTGCTGTGTGATGGCCGCTGTCCTTTTCCTCGTTGATTTCCTATTTTAATTAAAATCACCGGCCGCCAGCGCGCTAGCCTGACCCGGTTTGCGACTTGGGAGAACAAAGCTACGCGAGGGCTGCTATCCCAGATCAGCCTTCCGAGTTCCTGGCTTTGGCATAGGGAGAGAAAAATGGAGACGGGGACGGCACAGAGACCCGGTGTAAAAGCAAACACAACGGGAATGGGTGGGTTCCCCTCGTCTCTCCTCCCCTCCCCCATTCTGATTAGAAGAGGAGAAAGAAAAATCTCCGCCTAGGATTGGAACGCCAGGAAGAATTATCCCGACATTTCCACAAAGCCCCGCCGACGAGAAGGCCTTGGCAAGGGGCGCCGGGCTTCCGTGCGGGATCGCAACCTGGGACGATTTAGGCAAAAACAAATTAAACAGAACCCGCTGTTGGGCTGCGGGGGGCGAGGGGTGCGGAATAAAAGCGAACGGAATGGGCTACACCTTGGTTAACTGTGTCGGCCTGTTTGTATCCTCCCGCCCCGCGTCGTGCCGCAACAAATGAGCTAGATTCCTCCCCGTTCAGCCTCTTCAGGTCCCGAAAAATCGAAAATTACTTCCTAGGGTGGTGGAAAGGAAGATGGGGAGTCTCCTCTTAATTTCCTTTCTCCTTTCCTCTCCATTTCTCTCCTCCCCTCTTTTTTTTCTTTGCCTCTGTAGAAAGAAAAGAGGGGCCCCTAAATAGGCTTCGTATCGCTCCCTCCGCCACCTCATTCCTGAGACTAAGTACGGACCCTTGGGATTCTGAGTTCTGGTTTCGGTTTGGGGCTGGACGCGCAGAGAGGAGGGTCGCAGAACTGGGCGGGGTACTCGGAGGTTCGGACACCTCGAGCAGGGTCCACAGACGGTATTAACCTTTCCCAGTACTCCTCCCGCCCCCACCCACCGACTCCAGTCCTTTGCAACGGTGGCGAACCGCATAGCCGCGTCCACGCGTAGACAGCAAGCTCCACAGTGGGCCGGCCCCATCCCTGGCGGAGGGCTCGGGCGTGCTGCCGGGAGGGGTGGTGGCGGCGGAACAGAATCGTTATAGCTGATTCTCAGGTGCCGGGGTCTTTTTTGCTGGCTCCACACACACCTGCAGGGGGTGGGATGGAATGGAGAATCCCTGAATGGGTTGTGGATAGAGGGTAGACAGAGGTAATTCCCAGCCACTGACCCCCTATTTCTCTCTCGCCCTCCCTCTCGCCCTCCCTCTTTCTCTCCACCCCCATCTTTCCTGGAAACTCTCTTTGGGCGCGGCAGACTGCCCAGGACTACACCGCAGCCTAACTGTGGGCCTCTCAGGGAGAGACTGGGAAAGTCAGGAGTCCTCCGGCCTCAGCGTGGACCTCAGCCTCCACCCCTCTCCGAAGGAGGAGTGGAGACCCTGTTGAGAGGGGCCAGTGTCTCTAAATATGCCCCAGGTAAGTTTTAGGGGGAGGTGGTGTTGGGGCTGGGGTCTGGTCGCCGCCTCTGGGTAGGAGAGGACCCAACTGCGCTGGGGTGGGGGAGGGAGGAAGTGGGAAAGGGTCGGATCGCGGGGGTCCGCGGCCCCGCGCTGTCGTGGGGGGTACAGCAGGGTCCTTTCCTTTTTTTCTCCCCGGAGTGCCACCAGCTGGGTGGACCTAGTTCTCCAGGACTCTCCTGCGTCTGGGTTCCGTGGTGGTCACCGACACGCGGGTACACCGACACACGGGGTGGCTCTGGCCGAGTGCTGCAGGCTATGCCTGGAGCTGTGCAGGAAGAAGGACAGGAAGAAGGCGGCAGCCATCCTGGCGAGCCTTCCGACCAGGGTGGGCCCTGACCAAGGGCCTGAGGCCTAAGGCGGGGCCCGCTGGACCGCCAGTCCCCCCGGCAGCAGCCGGGAAAGGGGTGCTCGGGGCCGCTGATGTAGCTTTGGGTGCAGGCTGGGGCTCCTGTAGAATGGAGTGGAGGCATAGGTGCGGTGAGAGGGGCTGGAGAACAGATCTAAGCAGAGGCGCCAGCCCAGGCTGATGAGGCTGTTTTCGTCTAAGAAATTCTTCCTGTAGGGGATTTTGAGCTGCCCTGGCATGGGTGCCTGCTCCCAGAATGGAGCTCAGCGAATCTCTGTGCTCAGGTCATCTGGCAGCTTGGAAGTGAAGATCCGCAGGGAGTCTTGGTCCGGAGCTGGTCTCTGTCGCACAAAGGGAGGAGAGTAATGCCTAGATACTTTCGTGCAGAGCCATTCCGACAGAAACCTGCTTGTCTCCCAGTGAAAAATAAAAAGCACACAGGCTTTCAGGATTCTTATTGGAACGCTGTGATGCAGTCCCATGGCAGGCAGCCGTAGGTGTTTGTGGGACCCCACATGTAGCTGGGTGATTTGGTTTGCAGAAGGATCTGGCTGGATTTTCCTGAGGTCTCAAGGGGTTTGGGCAGCCATCTAGGGGTTAAGGTAGTTCTCCTGGGAGCCTTGTGGATATGGTTATTTATGGGCATCCTGGTGAGGGCATTTGCCAGGGTCATCTCATTTGGAGTTGCCTGTCCCTTGGGAACCGGTTCCAATGGCAGGAGCTGCATAATGAATCAGAGGGTATAGATGAGTCATTATGGAGTTAATTGCCGATCTCAGGGCACCTTGGGGCTTGTATCTTTGGCCAGGGGCTGGTATATTTCTGGTAAATTTCACTAAGGGAGAGGGTAGGGGGAGTAGGGGGTTGGCTGGTATGCTAACTCGTGCAGTTCCAAGAGCCAAGGGCCCCTGTTGGCGACGTGGCTGCAGCTGGGCTATTGTCTCCTCCATAATCGTAAACACGGTACACCTACTGCCTTGGCAGCTTATTGTGTTTGCCAGATCTAGGGGACTCTGCTGTTTCTGGGCTGGACTGGGAGGCTGGTAGCCCCAGTCCGGGTGCATGGGTGTCTGATCTCCTGAGGAGGCTGCAGAAGATCCAGGCCCTGCTGGGAGGGGAAGGACCATTCTGACAGGACCAGAGTGGCGCAGTGACCGAGTGGAAACCCAGTGGCTGCCCTGAGTGGTCAGATGGACTCATCTTGGGGCCGAATTGAATTTTTGTGTGTTCATTTTCTGTTGTAAATTACTCCAGTTAAACAATTTGGGGAGCAGAAGTCTTATGTTGAAGAATTAAAGATCCTGTCCAGGTGATTTCAAGTATATCATGAAAAGAACTCGCAAGTCCAGCTTTGTTGTTGTGTTGTTTTATGGAAAAAACCCAGTACCCGTGTGGGAAGTGGGGTGACCCTCCTCATGCTGGAGAATGGTGGGGGGGGGCCTGGGAAGGCTCAGTGGAGGTGGCCCACGTGGTCCCAAGCACCACAGTGTTTAAGTGCATCAAGGAGGGGTTCCTTCCATTTCCTAGAGAAGACAGCTGAGGAAGAGATGTGGGTGCAGTAGCTGGAAAAGTCCCCGGCCTTCTTAAAAATGACCTGCTTTGTGATGGGAGCCCAGAGCCCCACGGCCTGGGCGCTGGCCACATTTTCAAAAGCGCAGGCTCCTTCCCAGGCCTCAGGATGGGGTAGGGCGTGCAAGGCTGCCGTGCCAGGGGCTTCTGCCCTTACCCTCCTCTGTGAGTCTGGTTGCTTGTGAAAAAGTATTGGGATTCTCAGAGGCGCACAGCTGGTGCAGATGAGTCCCCTCCCCCTTGCCGGGTGCATATATTGTTGGGGGGGGGGGGCGGAAAGGCTGGTTCCCCTGCTGCTTACCGCCGGCTCAGCTCTAGGGGCCCCAGTCCGTGTGTCCTCCATTCCCTCCTCAGGTTTCTGGGAGTGTGTATGTTCTGTTGTGACTGTGGGGGTACTGCTGGGAGGCAAAGGAGGTTGCTTCTTGCTAGGTTCCTCGCCAAAACCAAGAAGGGAGAGACGTTGGCTAGGGCGGGGATTGCTCCCTCCTCTTTCCCCAGCGAGGAGGGGGATGTGGGCGATCTGTGTCTCGCCTCTTTGTACGTTTCCTTCCTCCTCCAGGCCCTCCGTCACTTGCAGCCTCTGTATTATAACCTTTCGTCTACTGCCTCTTTCTTTTCTCCCATCTCCAGCCGCTTGGCTGTTGTCCCACAGATCCCCCCCCCCCAGAGACCCGCAGTGCGCGGTGGGCTTGGGCCACGTGGCGCTAAGTTTCTCGGCCCCTCTCGGGTCGTGCCGCGCCCCCCCACGCCCCAGCCCACACCAGTGGTCTTAGCGGGCGCCCGCTGTCTGCTCGCCCGCAGGATGACCGAACAGCCGCCGAGCGAGGCGGCACGCAGTGACCCCCCGCTAGAAGGACGGGACGCGGCCGAGGCCCGCATGGCCCCCCCGCACCTGGTCCTGCTCAACGGCGTCGCCAAGGAGACGAGCCGCGCGCCGCCCGCCGAGCCGCGGGTCATCGAGCTGGGCGCGCGCGGCGGCCCTGGGGGCGGCCCCGCCGGTGGGGGCGGCGCCGCGAGGGATTTAAAAGGCCGTGACGCGGCTGCTGCGGCGGCTGAAACACGCCATCGGGTGCCCACCACCGAGTTGTGCAGACCTCCCGGACCCGCACCGGCTCCAGCGCCCGTCTCGACCGCCGCGGAGCTGCCAGGAGACGGCCGCATGGTGCAGCTGAGCCCGTCCGCGCCGGCGGCCCCCGCCGCCCCCGGCCGCGCGCTGCTCTACAGCCTCAGTCAACCGCTGGCCTCACTCGGCAGGTGAGGGACTGGTGGGTTGGGCAGCGCGGTCACCGCCCGGGGCACCCTGCAAGTCCGCGGCGGCGCAGCCTGAGCTCTGTCAGCGTGCCTGTCCGGTAGCGAGCTGTTCGGAGGAGGACCCGGGGCGTTAGACTGGATTACCTGCTCCCCTCCCCCGTGCCAGGTGGGAAAGGAGGCCTCGGAGGGAGCGAGTGAGAGAGAGAGAGAGAGAGAGAGACCGAGAGAGACCGAGAGAGACCGAGAGACCTCCCACCGACAGTGAACGTGTGAGGGTTGGCAGAGCCTGGCTTCTAACCCCAGCCGATCTCTGACCCACCTTCCTGGGTTCCCTTGAACTTCCACTTCTCTTGGGGCTCCAAGGGTTTGGGGGAGGGAGCGGAGGTAGGGTGGGAACCCGAGAAAAAGATGCAGAGAACTCAAAATTAAGTGAGTGTGGGAAGTCAGGGGGTCCTGGCTGTGCACTCTACTCCGAGACCCCAGGAGGCGGCAGTGAAGGAGATGTGAGGCTGGGCAAGCACCTGCTTGGGAGTAGAGTTTTCGCTTGCTTGTTGCCTGTGGGAGATGTGTGAGTGTGTGTGTGCACACGCGCATTTGTGCCTGTTCCACCTATTGTCCGTGTGCAGGGATGTGTGTAGATCTGTCCTTCTGTCCTTGCCTGTCTCACGGGGGAGAGGGGGATCTGTGAAAGAGTTAGTGTAGGTGATGTTCCTCCTATCCTCCAGAAGTGTGGGAAGCAGTGTTGCCTCTCTGGTGTGTGGGAGGGCCGGGTACAGGTGTCGCCCCCACACCCAGGGTGTAGGGGATGGTCGCCGGGATGCGGCTTTCCCTGTCCCAGGGTGCTCATGTGACCTGGCTGCTCCCTCCCACAGCGGGTTCTTTGGGGAGCCGGACGCCTTCCCCATGTTTACCGCCAACAACCGGGTGAAGAGGAGACCCTCACCTTATGATATGGAGATGACCGAAGGTAAGTCAGCCCCGGTCCTCTGGATGGTGTAGTCCAGGGGTGGGCTATGGGCTTGGGGTGGGGGCCCCAGGACTAGAAACGAAAGAATCTCTAGCATCCGTGATTCATTCGCCTTGGAGCCCCAGACTGCTGAAGCCCTTCACCCTGAAACTGAACTTGTAGTCCTGGGGAGAAGGGTCCTTGGGAGAGTACACTGAGTGGCTGTGGTGGTGAGTGGCTGTGGTGGTTAGCCCACATCTCTGGGGTCAGTCTCCCCATTCCAGGCTGCTTTCTGCCAGTGTCCCAGGGAGGCAGGCTGTCAGTCCCCTCCCCCCTCCCGGGGATGTCTTGCACTTCCTCCAAGGGCCTTTGTGCCCTGCCTTAGATTGCAGCTCCAAGGTCCCCTCCCAGGTCCCAACCAGAGACCACCTTCCTGACCCCATGGATTGTGTCCTGCCCCTTGGTCTCCCCACTTACCACTCCCCCACCAAGGGCCTTAGGCTTCCTCCTGTGAACTCAGGCTCTGGTTGCTCAGAGGCGTTGCATGGGTGGGTGAATTGGAGGAGCCCCCTTCACCTGGGCAGGAGAGCCAGCTTTGTCACAGCTGAGGGTCTTTAGCAGGTCTCTTAGTGTTCCCAGGTGAGAGGGGGCTGAGGAAACAGGCAGGGCAGTAGGGGATTGGGCACCTGCAAGAGGACAGGGAAGCCATTAACCCTGTGTCACCAAGGTTTTTCAGTGTTGAGACAGAGAAGATGCCACAGGAGGCCAGGCTTGGGCAGAGGGGGGAGGTGTGATGACAGGGACAGGAGTGCAGGTGGTGGCAGGAGCTGTGAAGGGAGGAGTGCCTCTGCAGAGGAGGCAGACAGAAATGGACAGGCGTGGCGGAAGGGCAGGCTCTTAGGGGTGCAGGAGGTATGCACAGATTTTTTTAAAAAGATTTATTTATTGTGGTGTAGTTAAGTGGCTGCTTGCAGTGCTGGATCCTATATTGGCGTTGGTTTGAATCCTGGCTGCTCCACTTCCAAATCACTTTAGCTCCCTGCTGATGGCCTGGAAAAAGCTGCAGAAGATGACTCATCCTTAGAGTTGAACTCCTGTACTCTCATGGGAGATCTGGACGGAGTTTCTGGCTCTTGGCTTAAGCCTGGCTCAACCCTGGTCATTGTGGACATCTGGGAAGTGAACCAGCCGATGGAAGATCTTTCTGTCATTCCTTCACTCTTTAATTCTGCCTTTCAGATGAATGACTGACTGAACGAATAAATAAACAGAAAGGAAAAGACAGCGAGAACTTCCATCCACTGATTTACTTCCCAAATGACTACGATAGCCAGGGCTTGGCTAGTCCAAGGTCAGGAGACCTGAGCTTCTCCTTGGTTTCCCTTGTGGATGGCAGGGACCCACGTAATTTTGCAGGTGCATCAGCAGGGAACGGAAGTGGAGCTACCAGGACTGTACCAGACACTACAGTACAGGATGCTGGCAACAGAAAAAGAGACTTAACCGCCTATGCTGCAGTGCCACAGCATGCATGGAACTTTCAAATCAGAGTTTAAACCAAAAAGGCTTATGGATTAGAACTAATAACTTGGTCAGGACTTGATATGGGTTTGTGACTGAATTTTTCTTGAGTGCAGTGTCCACATTTGGAAGATGTCAGGGAGCTCCCACAGGTTGTTGAGAGAGCATGACTGCCTAGGGCGTGTCAGTGCCCATCCCTCTTTCCCCCTTCCTGTGCCTGTCATGAAGCTGTTGGGGGTGTGGTTTCCAGGGCAGTGAGCCCCCCATCTCCTGGGAACCTCCTCAAGGTGTCTTGTTCATGACTGCCACTAGCACCAGCACATTAACCCCAGTGCAAGCTCAGGCAGTTGTTATAGGGGTGGGCCAGGGGCATGGATGATATGGATCCTTTCATTTAAAAAATTAGTTGAGCTGGTACTGTGGCATAGCAGGTATGGTGGCACTAGCACCCTATAGATGCCTGCGTGAGTTCCAGCTGCTCCTCTTCTCATCCAGCTCCCTGCTAATGGCCTGGAAAAAGCAGAGTATGGCCTTGGGCCTTTACACCCACCTGGGAGACCCATAGAAAGCTACTGGTTCCTGGCTTTGGACCAGCCCAGCTCTGGTTGTTATGGCCATTTGGGAAGTGAACCAGTAGATGGAAGGTCTTTCTCTCTTGCCTTCTCTCTATATAACCCTACCTTTAAAAAAAAAACTAGTTTGTTAAAAAATCAGAGTTAGAGAGATGGGGAGAAATGTGAGAGAAATCTACCTGTTGGTTCACTCTCTAGATGGCTGCAACAGCTGAGGCTGGGCCAGGCTAAAGCCAGGAGTCAGAAACTTCTTACAGAACTACCACGTAGGTACAGCGACCCAAGCGCTTAGGCCATTTCCTATTGCTTTTCCAAAGCCATTAGCAGGGAGCTGGATCAGAAGCAAAATAGCTGGGTCAAGAACCAGTACCCATATGGTTGTCAGCATCACAGATGATAACTTAACCAGCACACTACAGCGTCAGCCCTGATAAGGATATTTCCTACCATTTCCCTAATAACTGTGCACCCTGCACTTTGTGTATTCTATTTCTACTTTATAGTTAATTAAGATTATTGTATTTACTTGAAATGATGATGATAGACACAGATACACACACGCACACATACAAAGAAACAGAAATCTCCTATCCATTGATTCATTCCTTAAATGCCCACAAAAAGGGGGCCTGGGCCAGAAGTCTCCAAGTACATGGCAGGACTCACACACTTGGCCTTGCACCTGCTGCATCCCGGGCATGCATCAGCAGGCAGCTGAATTGGAAGTGTCACTGGGACTTGCTTACAGGGAATCCCAAGCACGGCTTTGCCAAAGGCTTGTCCCAGAGTTATCTGTGGCTAGAATTTAGGTAATTCTGCACCCATTAACCACCTTCTGCTTCCCACTTCCTTTCTCAGCTTCTGGGGACCTTGGCTGATTTTTTATTTAACCCACATTGTAAACCCAGGAGGCCATTATTAACTGTTTCTGTTTCACAGATGAAGACATTGTGGCTTGCAAAGGTTAGGCTACCTGCTTAAAGTCACACAGCCCGTCCTGAGCCATCATTACAGCACTTGGGAGTACATCCTCCCCCGTCCCTTCTGCATCTGCCCAGCTCTGGCTGTGCATGCAGTTATATCACCCCCTCTCTGGCAGCGAGGAGAGGCCTCCCTGTCAGCAGCCCTGCCTGTGCCAAGGCAACACTAGGCACTGGTCCTCCCCTCCTCAAAGTAGAGCGACTCTCCGTTTGAGCCCGGGGGCCAGAGGATGAGTTCTCTGCTCTGAGGCCGCCCAGGGCAAGGCTAAGGGCAGGCAGGCATATTGTGCTTTTCCTACATGGGGTCTGACCTTTGGCAAAGAGTCAGCTGGGCTGGGGTCTGGAGTTTGGTAAAGCAGCTTCAGTTGTACTGTGGACAGAGGATGAGTGAACCACTGGGGAAAACCAGAGAGAGAAAGAAACAGGAAGCGATGGTGGAGAGCCACCTGTGCCCGGCCTCAGTGGGGTGCTGCTGAGCTCTTGGCCCTCAGTCTCCTTCTCCCCTTCTGGAGTTTCCACATTCTGAGGTCTCTTCCTGGGGTATGGGAGGAGTGCTGGCTCCCATGGGCAAAGCTTCCCAAGGGCTGTTGTGGACCTGGCTTGTTCCTCAGCACAGAGGTGGGAAGCCGTTGCCTTGTGCCAGGCATCAGAGGCACTAACAGGATGCTGCCTGCCCTCTCCTGGGTCAGGTGGGAACATGCAGTACAGTGTTTTGATCTGCAGGTGCTCAGCCTGCGTGCACCGGGGCCTGCCATGAGTCATTGCTGCTGGGCCACGTGGACACTGCTGCACTGCACGCACAGGTGGACAGGAGCCTGTGGGAAGCTTCAGGCCATGGCAGGGCGTGGCTGTATTCACTTTCCTGGGGTGGCTTTTTCGCTCTTCCCCACTTGCTCACCTGCCATCAGTGAGTGCTGACCAAGCTCCTGCCCTGCTTGTACTCACTCTTAAAAGCTAAGTCCGCATTCTTTAGAACAGGGTCCCCCCAGACTTGGACCCTGCCTACTCTGCCTCCATTTTGGAGCCGTGGAAAGACAGTGCCCTCTGCTTGCAGTCTTCTTCCTGAGCCTGTGTGGTGGCCCTTGTTCAGCCTTCAGTCCTGTCCTCTAAGTGTCACCTCTCAGAAAGGCCTTCTCAGTTGCCCCAGCCTACCAGTGGCTCCCATCCATCCTTTACTCACCGTTCAGCCCTGGTGTGTGTGTGTGTGTGTGTGTGTGTGTGTGTGTATTGCTTGTCATCTCTCATCCTGATTATATGGTAAGCTCTAGGAAGGCAGAAGCCCTGGCTGTTTTGATCACCATTATTTCTTAGTGGCTAACCCAGTGCCTGGTTGTGTTAGGGAGGAACCTGTGAATAGACAGTCTAGCCATCATTTACCAAGCTAACATGAGCAGGTGCCGCCTTAAGAACTTGACCTATGTTAGGTGTTGGATTCCTGTGGCACTTGGGATTTGACTTACCAGCTTTACCTCCATTTCAGAGATGGTGAGGCCAAGGCCAAGGCAGTTTCAGGAACTTGCCTAGAATTACTTGTCTAGTGAGCAGGAGCCAGGATTTTGTACATAGAAAGCCTCGATCCAGGCTCCATCTTCCTACATCTTACAAAGTGCTAGAAGGTTCTTGGCACAAGTGAATGGATGAGTGAGAGGCACGTGGTCCCTGTCTTCAGACATCTCACAGTCCCTGGAGTGAGGCATATGGGCAGCTGTCAGGAGCCCACGGTACTTACCGTACTTGGTGTGACCCCCTCGGGGGACTTAGTTGCAGGAGAGGAAGTGCAGGAAGTAGAATTTGAAGGGGGGATTTGGTGTTCCTCAAGATCGGTGCCCCTTTGGGGGGGATTCCGACACATCCCCTTGACCCTGTCCTCCTTTCCTCCCCAGGTCCCCACACCAAAGTCGTGAGACGCATCTTCACCAACAGCCGGGAGCGCTGGCGGCAACAGAACGTGAATGGGGCCTTCGCGGAGCTCCGCAAGCTCATCCCCACGCACCCCCCAGACAAGAAGCTCAGCAAGAACGAGATCCTCCGCCTGGCCATGAAATACATCAACTTCCTGGCAAAGCTGCTCAGTGACCAGGAGGAGGAGGGCTCCCAGCGGGCCAAACCCGGCAAGGACGCTGTGGTGGGGGCCACTGGCGGGGGTGGGGCAGGGGGTGGCGCACCCCCTGATGACCTCCTGCAGGATGTGCTGTCTCCCAACTCCAGCTGTGGCAGCTCCCTGGATGGGGCAGCCAGTCCGGACAGCTATACAGAGGAGCCGGCCCCCAAGCACACGGCCCGAAGCCTCCATCCCGCCCTGCTTCCTGCCGCTGATGGGGCTGGCCCTCGGTGATGGACCGTGGCTACCTGGGGCCAGCCAAGAGATGCCCTTTCGGCCACAGGGACGGCAGGCTTCGGGGCCAGCGTGATGAGAATAGGGTGACTCTGAAACAGGCTGATGGACCCGTGGGCTTCCTCCACTGCCTGAACTGCAGGAAGCCCTCATTGAACCCAGAGCTGGCTTTTCTGTTTTCTGCCTCAGTAGGAGAACAGAGTAACAGAGTGAAGCGGTAGGTACTTTTTTCTGAAGACGGCACATGGTCTTCCCTGTCCCCGCCCCCATTCTGAGACTTTCCAAGAAGGAGGCTCAAGGGTCACCATTTTTTTTGGCCTAGAGACCCAGAGCCCTGGCTCTGCCAAGACCGGGAGCTGTTGGCGTTCACTTGAGGCAAGCCACGGCCTCTGCCTCATCGGGGGCCACTCCTGAGCTGGCTTTGGTGGCTTTGGTGGCTGCTTCTGTCCATGCATATAGGTACCTAGCAGCTGCGCATCTCCTGTGCCCTGCCCTCACCCAGGCCCGTGCCAACCCGACCAGCTTGCCAGCTGCTGCGGGGAGTCACAGGTGCCTTCTTTGGGGCCTGGTTGAAGTAGATGGCCAGGGCACAGCCTGCTGGCTACTTGTTGGGCCAGAGGCTCAGCAGACCTGGCAACCCTGGGGGGTCAGCGCCTCTGCTTGCTCCCCACCGAGACTTGCCTTCCTGTCCTGTGGCCCTGTGGCCGCGGGGACCCAGCCAATGGCTGTGCGTCAGCCAGGTTGGACTTGGCGTGAAGGCTGAGAGCGGGAAAGTGATGCTAGAGTGAAGTGGAACAAGAGAGATCTTGGGCATGTGAGTTTCAACTCTTGTACATCATTGCTGATACTTGGGGAGTAAATGCCAGCAGCAGGTGCCATGTGGGCAGTGGATGGCAGCTCCAGCCTGCCTTCTCTCCTGGATGCCAAGAGAGATTTCCCTGCTGCTGGTCATCAGTCTGCATTCCGAATTGAGCACACACTGTCCCATGAGTTCTTGGCATTTGGGTTTTGTGCTTGACTTTAGTTCTTGGTGGGACATTTAGGTTTGGATGAGAGCCCAGGTAGAGCCCTACTCTTGTGACAGGGACATCCAATCAGAAACTGCCCTGGCTGAGATCCACCTCTATGCATGCACATCCACAGAGCAGAACCTTAAGGAAGGGCCCTTGACCGTGCAGTGTCCTGTTGTCAAGGGTGTATGTGGGAGGCTGGCTTGATGCACTGGGAGTGTGCTCTGCCCAGAAGTTATATGTGAAGCTTTTGTAAATCAAATCCCTGTCCTTCAAATTTTGAAGGAAAGCCTCTAAGTCTTTTTGTAACGTGAAGAGTCCTTTTGTAGAGTGGACCATTGACCCTGTGGTGACTTGCTATGTCCATCCCGACAGAGGCATGTAGTCGTCTTAAGGCCAGGCCTACCTGTCACCTGCTTCCTGCACCCATGGGACAGGTGGCAAGAAATCTCATTCATCTGTCATTGCTTCCTTGCATCCTCACAGCCCACTCCCGCAAGGCTGTGCTGATGAGGTCAGAGGGAAGATACCTGGGCAGTCCCCATTCCGTCTGGGGGAAGCCATGTGGACAGCAGTGGGGAAGGCTCTCTCAGGTTTCAAGTCTTAGCCTAGCAGCTTGTCCTAAGGACAGCTGGCACGGAAAGAGTGACCCTGCTCTCCTTCTCTTCCCTGTGTAAGTTGTGGGGCCCAGTTCAATGAAGGCAGTCAGCAATGGCTGCCCATCACAGTTCTGATGTATGGTAGAGCTGGCTCCCTTCCAGCCTGTCCTCATGGGAGAGGCCTCTGGGAAGAGGCAGTCTGCTGATGGAGCCACAGTCCTGGGGCCTGATGCTGTGTTCGCTTCCCAGTGCTCGGAAGCAGTACAGGAGTAAGAAGCAGCCACAGCAGGCAGGGCTGTTTGGGGCACAGATCACACATTCTAGCAGACCAGTGCTGGGGCTGTGATGAGGAGCCTCCCCCCATGTTACCACATGTTAACATGTTAACACATGTTACCTGTGTTACTGGCTCCCAGCCAGCCTGGGCCGGTTTGTGCCCCGGGTTGTGTGGGGGCTGAATGGGCTCCTGACAGTAAGGTATGAGAGTCGAGCACAATGACCACTCAGCATTTGGGTGACGTGGATTATGAGCCACTTCCCTCGAGTTTGCTAGGTTATCCTGGTTGCTCCAGATCTGTCTCAACTCCTTTCTCAGTCCAAGGCAAGATACTGGAGGGAGAAGGAAACAGAGACAGTGGGGACAGAGTAGATGACGTAGATCCACCTGAAATGGGCGTGTGTGAGGAAGTACAAGGCTTTATGTCTTGTAGGAACTTAGAAGACCTGTCATTTTTATTTCTTCCCACATGCCACATGCCATCCTCCTTCCTCTGCCTCCTTCTGACCTCTGATGAAATACAGCATTTCAAAAATAATACCCACACACAAGGGGGAAAATGTCAAGGTGAAAACCATGGGAGGAGAACCAAAGTGAAAAGAATGGCTGAGGGGCATGACATCTTGTAAGGAGAATTTGTATCATTTGACTTGTAGTGGCAAACACTAGATGGTACAACCTCTATCCTTTTCCAGAAATCAGACCGAGGGCACAGCATTGTGTAGTCAGCCAGCGGCTCTCCGGCCTTCGGGGGTGGGTCTCGCCGTACTTGTGACTTCGTGGTACGTGGCCCCTTGCTGGAGGCTTGCCCCTGCCCATGTACATAGCGTGTGGTTTCTGTGGCGGGCCCAGCACTTTGCGTCAATGTCGTACTGTATGTGATGAATTGCGTTGGTCTCCACGTCTTTTTCCTGCAGAAGAGGAGTAGCAACCGCTCCAGGTACCTGGGCCCGCGTACCACCCAGAGGCCAACTCTGTGGGTGCGTGATTCTTTTCGCGACAAAACGCGTGGTGATGATGTGTGTATATATAAGGCTATATTGGGAAAATTTCTAAATAAAAGTTTTACAGAGGGGCTCTGGCTCTGTGTTTACATTGTGCATCCCTGGGCTCAGGACGTTAGGAAGAAGTGATCAACGGGGCAAGGATCTGCTTCTGCCCTGAAATGGGAGCACCCATGGGACTGGGCCCTTGGTAAACCAGGGAGCCCAGCCTCTGCTCTGAGGGTCTGTGCCTTAGGGTTTCCATTGTTCTCCCTCTGCTTCAGAAAGGTCCAGCCCCCTGATACTGTGTGGCTCTTAAGGCCTGGGGGTTCTGGCTGCAGGCTTTGGAAGTTGCTAGCAAGCCTGTGCAGCAGGTTCTGTTGCTGGGGAGGCTGTTCCCAGGGGCTCAGGGATGGGATTGTGAATCAGGGCAGGGCCTTGGGGCAGCCGGAAGGGCAGGGACTCAGGCCTGCAGAGAAGCACCTCGTGGGAGCAGGCTATGAATCTGGATGGCAGAAGAGGTGGGCCCCGCACCCTTGGTTTGGTCTGTGTCCTCTGGCCTCTAGAGCATGATGAAGTGCTTGGGAGAGAGAACATGGAGAAGAACGGAGTGTGCTGCTGAGTGAAGCAGAGGGTATTCTGGGTCAGGAGGTGGTTAGTGGAGTGCTGCACAGTTGAATGGTGAAGTGGATTAAAGTCTGGAAGTGCCAGTGGGGCCCATCCACTTGGAAGTCACCAATGACTCAGTGATACCCACGCCTCAGGAAGGACAGGGCCTGACTGTCCTGGGCTGATGGGAAATGGGAAGCATCCCATCCAGACAGTTTCTCCCAGGAAAGGATGTGACATTGCTGTCTAGAGGGCAGGAGGAGCCCGTGACCTCTGTGGCCATCACAAAAGATCCTGTGAGGTGATGATGGAGCTGACCTTGGGATGGGCTGGCCAGTGTCCAGGGCTCAAGAGGAAGGCTGAGCCCAGAGAGGAGAGCAGTTTTCTGGGGTCCTGGGACTGCTGACACGTATTTTTCTCCGTCCTCCCTCATTCCCTCTGCTTTGGTTCTGTTCTTGCTGCTCCAGGCTGCATTCTTGTGACCCTCCCAACTGATTAATTAGCAAAAGCTCAGTGTGCTGGCTCAGTCCATGAATGCCTGCAACAGCCAGGGATGAGCCAAGCTGAACTCAGGAACCCAGCCAAGTCTCCCACATGAGTGGTGGGACCTCAGACACGTGAGCCATCACCACTGCCTCTCAGGGCTCAGGGTGCACATGAACAGAAAACTGCAATCAGACGGCGCACCCTGGTACTCTGATAGAGGATGGCAGCAAGGCAAGGGTGGCTTTCCCCGCCCACATCACAGTGCCACCAGGCCAAATGCTCCACCTGACCCTCCAGTTCCTGCACCTTTTGTTTCTGTGTCCTGGGATAATCCGTCCACCCTTTCTTCTCATCCTTCCTTCGTTTGCTTCACAGGAAACAGCTCTGACTAGATGGGGTCAGCTGCCTCCCTTGGCTGCCCCTCCTCTTGAGGCCTTCCTTTACTGTGGCCCTTTTTCATCTGTGGTAATATAAAGGTACCTGAAAAACTCGAATTAAAGGACAGCCTTGTGGTGTAGCGTAGCCATGGCCTACATCCCTGGTATTCTGCGTGAGTGCGAGTTTGTTTCAGATGCTCCATTTGCGATCCTGCTCCTTGCTAATGTGCCTGGGAAAGCAGAAGAGGAGGGCCCGTGTACTCAGGCCCCTACATTCATGTGGGGGACCAGAGGAAGCTTCGAATTCTTGGCTTTGGCCTTGCCCTGCCCTAACCCCAGTTGTTACGGCTGTTTTGGAAGTGAATCAGTGAATGAAAAATATCTCTCCTCTAACTCTGTAAGTTTTTAAAAAAGATTTAAGAAATTTTATTACTAGCATTTTTTAAATTAGATTTCCAGAGAGTGAGAGAGACAGAAAAATAGCTGAACTGATCTAAAGCCAGGAGCTTCATCCAGATTTCCCATATGGGTGCAAGAACCCAAGGCTTTGGGTCATTCTCCATTGCTTTCTCAGTTCATTAGCAGGGAGTTAGATGGGAAATGGAGCAGCTGGGACACAAACCTGTACCCAGAGGATTAGCTAGCTGAGCCACTTTGCTGGCCCCTTATTTTGTAATTTTAATTTTCAAGTAAATATATACATCTTCTTTTTAACATGGAATTAAAGGAAAAATTGATTTTGGTATATAAAATGTTGAAACACATATAACTTTTTATTGTTTCATGAGCTTTTTGAAGGCCTCTTGTATTTGTCTACTAGCCTGCTTCTCCACTAAGATACCAGCTCCTTCGAGGTGTTTTACCTGCTTGCCTCCAGCACCTGATTGTGGAACTGGTACTGGTTCCTTCTGGGATTTGCTGAATGTAGAGGTTCCCTGTGTGATGTCTCCTGGCTCAGTTTGTGGCTATTATGGAACAAAGGAGTAGAGATGAATGGTTAGCAAAGTGCCTGCCCAGAGTCCCCTGTCTGAAACCCAGGCCATGGTGCTGGGCTTCAGGGGCAGGTATAAGTTTCCTTTCCCTGGGCCTCCACGGGTTTGGGCTGCAACTTTTTTTTTTCTTTCAAAGATTTATTTTTATTTTTATTGGAAAGGCAGATATACAAGAGAGGAGGAGAGATAGAGAGGAAGATCTTCCATCCAATGATTCACTCTCCAAGTGACCGCAGAGGCTGGGACTGAGCTAATCCGAAGCCAGGAGCTAGGAGCTTCTTCTGGGTCTCCCACATGGGTGCAGGTTCCTAAAACTTTGGGCCATCCTCAACTGCTTTCCCAGGCCACAAACAGGGAGCTGGATGGGAAGCAGGGCCACCGGGATTAGAACCGGCGCCCATATGGGATCCTGGCATGTTCAACGCAAGGGCTTTAGCCACTAGGCAATTGTCCCAGGCCCTCGGGCTGCAGTTTTTAAAAACATTTATTTTTATATATTTGAAAGGTATAGATGGGGGAAGGAGGGAATAAGGAAGGTGAGGAGGGAGGGAGAGAGAATGAGTGATTCATTGAGTCCAATCTTCTGTCTGCTGATTTACTCCCTGAATACCCACAGCAGCCAGAGCTGGGCCAGGCCAACACTGACAGCCTAGAACTCCATCAGGGTTCTTCAATGTGGAGGGGAGAGGCCTGAGAACTTGAGCCATCATTGTCTGCTGTTTGCTACTAGCAGGAGACTGGATCAGCAGCAGAGGAGGGACTTGATCCCAGTTTGTACCCCACTGCCTCACATCTTCTCTCTGCCTCTCTCCCCATCCTAGGCTGCTGTGGGTTCTAGGAAGGGGCAGAAGTAGGGTGTGTGCTGCCCTGGGCAGTGGTGGCCTGGTTATGTTATAGTGGACCTGGGCAGGTGAAGTGTAGGTTGTGTACTCACAAAAGCCAGCCCCTACCCTGCAACCGTCTCTACTACCCCCTTACCTGTTGGCAAGGCACCCAACTGCTCGCAGCAGCCTGTACTTCCTGTTGGTCCTGCTGCCCATCTGAGTCAGGTCACTGTGGGAACACTGGGCTGTGCACAGTGTTGTATCATCACAGAGCGAGGCGGAGAGAAAGGCTCCCCTGGCGGGAGGAAGAAGCAAAGGCTGAAGGGCACTAGGTTTGAATTCAGGCCTGTCTGACCCCAGAGCCAAAGCCCAGGCTTCCTCAGGAAGGGAAGAAGAGACAGTCCGTAGGTGATGAGTGTTCATGGAGCAGATGGGCTGAGGCTGAGCTACCAGGGAAAGGGCCGCTCAGCTCAGTCCAGCCACCTTCCCAGGACCTCGAATGACCCCTGTGGGTGCCGGACAGCCTGCTGACAGCAGACAATGGCTCAAACTACCAGGCCAGGGCATGGATAGGAGCTGGCTGGAGAAGCAGTGAGCCTGGCCTCTGGGGTCAGGGTCACCTGGATATACTAACTAGCCCAGATGTGTGACTTTGAGTAAGTCATTTTACCTCCCTCTGAGCTTCAATTTCTTCACCTGTTAAGTGAAGCTGTTAACATCCACCTTACAGAGCTGCTGTGGGATTTCAGGAGCTTGCCAATTTATACAAAGCAGACATTATTGTTTTTGGAAAAGAGATGTGGGGATGGCTGGGGGAGGGTAGGATAGGGAGGTACAGGGTCATTCCTCATGCGCAGCAGCAGCAGCAGCAGCAGCAGCAGCAGCAATTCTTGCAGGCCTGTTGCAGGCAGAGCAGTGTTGGGAAGCCAGCAAGGACCCACTTCATTCCTGTCTGTAGGGGCCCCCAGGCTGGGTGGGAGTGGATACCGAGCATTGGTATCTACACTGCAAGAGCGGTCCAGTGGCTGTGAGCCTTGGCAGCAGAGGTTGAATTGGAGGAGACGGGGAGAGCTTCCTGGAGGAGGCACCATTTCCCATTCTGATCAAGCTGCATCACCTTCTTTTGGGGACAGATACAAGTTGCTCTGGGAATGCCAGTTCTACCTGGGAGGCGTGAGCTGTCCACAGTGGCATTCTCCAGCCTCCTCCTTCCTTTTCCCAGTTGCTTGTCTGAGCCCTGCCTCCCTCCCCAGCTCCTGGCCTTCTCTGTCCACACAATAACAGGATGTGATCCGTTCGCAGAGAGGAAGTGGGGAGGACAGGCAGTGCTGATAGCGCGTGTCTGACACTCCTCCTTGCTGCTGCACACCGGCCCCTGCAGCTGCCTCCAGGACTCTCCACTCCAGGCCATGCTGGGGTGGCTCTCTAGCATGTGTGTGGGGTTCAGTGTGGGAATCCTCAAGCCCACTCAAGCCCGAGTCACCCTTTGCAGAGATGCATGCTGGCCACATCTCCGGCAGAATCTACCCTGTTGAACCGTCTTCAGATTCTAGCTTGTTTTCTGGAGCTGCTTGAGCCTTGGGGTGGGCAGGTGGGTCCCTCAGCCCCCTGTCAGCAGGGCTCCACTTGGCCACTGTTTCCCTGCTCCCACTCTCGCCCTCTCCATCCCCCCAACTCTGTTCACATGGGTGTGGCCCAAAGACATGGACCTTGGCTGGCTGTGCCTGACTGGGCTTTGCTGGTGGAATGGGCTGCCTAGGTCAGGAAGGTGAGGTTCAGAGAGGCAAAGGGTCCTGTCCAGACT